AGTGAGCTCTGCGGTCTTGGCCATTAGTTGATTTACTCGTTTTTTTTGTAGTAATACGTTGTCAAATATGTTTAAACTCAAATAAGCTACTTAATACTAGTAGTTATGTCTCTTTGTATTAATTTGTCCTGTTATTGACGTGATGCGCGTCATTGACCAAATGCACGACGATATGCTCAAATATGTTTTTTAGAGGGAATATACAAACGCCATTTGAGCAATTTTGACAGCCCTAGTATGCGTACGGTAGCTGTTACGAACACTGGTCATAGGATTAAGTAATACCAACGTTGTTCCGTGCTTTTTGTGGGAGATTTATTCAGCGACCACCTGGCTGAGGTTTGGACGCGTGTGGTTTGTGTCTCCCTCGCCATCGCAGTGATATTAGAGACTAGACATGCTCATTTTATTTTATGTAGAAAAATTTAAACCATGGCAGTAAATAGTTCGTTACTTTTAAAATGAAGTACAGTGTGCACTGTGCACTTTATTATGCTGGTTGCTACTGTGTGCAATAGTGTAATTATTTTATTTATGCTTAAATATTTATTTTCAGCAGTGAACTTTTTTTTGTTCTACCTCATGTTTTTAATATTTGTTAAATATTGTTTATCTACTTGTTCTTGTTCTACCTCACATGTTTTTACTATTCGTTAAATATTGATTTTTTTCGTTAAATAAATGTTACTTTTATTAAATTGAGACCTGTAACATTTTTTAACATCATGTCATTTTTATGATGTAAATTGAGGGAGCAAAATGTATCGGCTCCAAATATCGGCTCAAGAAAATCGGCAGCCCGTATCGGTCATCGGCTAAGGCTAATGGGAAAAAAATCGGTATCGGTATCGGCACTAAAAAATCCATATCGGTCGATCCCTAGTGTGTAAGCACCTGAAGATGCGAGTGTGCAGGTCTCTCTGCAGCTCCCCCTGCCAGCGCGCTCGGCCCAGTCTCTCCAGGATACAGTAGCACAGATCCGGCAGCTTGAGCTCCGGGTTTCCCTCGGGCCCGATCAGCGCACGGTGGCGGAGCTCAGCAGACGCCACCATCACCAGCCGCTCGCCCCAGCTGAGGAAGCAGAGAGACGGGTCAGAGTGTGTGTGTGTGTGTGTCCCACCATCACCAGCCGCTCGCCCCAGCTGAGGAAGCAGAGAGACGGGTCAGAGTGTGTGTGTGTGTGTGTGTGTGTGTGTGTGTGTGTGTGTGTGTGTGTGTGTCCCACCATCACCAGCCGCTCGCCCCAGCTGAGGAAGCAGAGAGACGGGTCAGAGTGTGTGTGTGTGTGTGTGTGTGTGTCCCACCATCACCAGCCGCTCGCCCCAGCTGAGGAAGCAGAGAGACGGGTCAGAGTGTGTGTGTGTGTGTGTGTGTGTGTGTGTGTGTGTGTCCCTCACCGCGCCTGCACCTCCTCCAGCGTCAGCGGCGCGCGGATCTGCTCACACACGTCGAGCCGCTCGCTGAAGAACACACAGGAGCCCTGAAGGCCGCGCGGGTCGTCCGCCAGCACACACACCGGGTACACGTCCTGCGCCTCGGCCTGCCGCATCTCGTGGATGCCCGTGTTCCGGTCCACCTCCACAAACCTGCGACACACACACACACACATACTGCAATCATGATGTGCTTACTGCACTGCTTATGATTATTCAACTAAACTAGTCTTGCAGAAAGCACATATCTGTGCTCTAAACAGGCCTTAAATGCAAAAGAATACATGTATCTAATTAGGGATAAACACCTCTAATGTAATAAATCAAAACATGACTCACTGTAATACGAAGTTAAGAGATAAGACAGTGTGACTGCAGTAAGAGTGTGGTAAAGACTGGTAAAGACTGGTAACGGTCGTGTGAGACAGTGTGACTGCAGTAAGAGTGTGGTAAAGACTGGTAAAGACTGGTAACGGTCGTGTGAGACAGTGTGACTGCAGTAAGAGTGTGGTAAAGACTGGTAAAGACTGGTAACGGTCGTGTGAGACAGTGTGACTGCAGTAAGAGTGTGGTAAAGACTGGTAAAGACTGGTAACGGTCGTGTGAGACAGTGTGACTGCAGTAAGAGTGTGGTAAAGACTGGTAAAGACTGGTAACGGTCGTGTGAGACAGTGTGACTGCAGTAAGAGTGTGGTAAAGACTGGTAAAGACTGGTAACGGTCGTGTGAGACAGTGTGACTGCAGTAAGAGACTGGTAAAGACTGGTAACGGTCGTGTTAGACAGTGTGACTGCAGTAAGAGTGTGGTAAAGACTGGTAACGGTCGTGTTAGACAGTGTGACTGCAGTAAGAGTGTGGTAAAGACTGGTAAAGACTGGTAACGGTCGTGTGAGACAGTGTGACTGCAGTAAGAGTGTGGTAAAGACTGGTAAAGACTGGTAACGGTCATGTTTGACAGTGTGACTGCAGTAAGAGTGTGGTAAAGACTGGTAACGGTCGTGTTAGACAGTGTGACTGCAGTAAGAGTGTGGTAAAGACTGGTAAAGACTGGTAACGGTCGTGTGAGACAGTGTGACTGCAGTAAGAGTGTGGTAAAGACTGGTAAAGACTGGTAACGGTCATGTTTGACAGTGTGACTGCAGTAAGAGTGTGGTAAAGACTGGTAAAGACTGGTAACGGTCGTGTGAGACAGTGTGACTGCAGTAAGAGTGTGGTAAAGACTGGTAAGTTAACGTTAACGGTCGTGTGAGACAGTGTGACTGCAGTAAGAGTGTGGTAAAGACTGGTAAGTTAACGTTAACGGTCATGTTTGACAGTGTGACTGCAGTAAGAGTGTGGTAAAGACTGGTAAGTTAACGTTAACGGTCATGTTTGACAGTGTGACTGCAGTAAGAGTGTGGTAAAGACTGGTAAAGACTGGTAACGGTCGTGTTAGACAGTGTGACTGCAGTAAGAGTGTGGTAAAGACTGGTAACGGTCGTGTGAGACAGTGTGACTGCAGTAAGAGTGTGGTAAAGACTGGTAAAGACTGGTAACGGTCATGTTTGACAGTGTGACTGCAGTAAGAGTGTGGTAAAGACTGGTAAAGACTGGTAACGGTCGTGTGAGACAGTGTGACTGCAGTAAGAGTGTGGTAAAGACTGGTAAGTTAACATTAACGGTCATGTTTGACAGTGTGACTGCAGTAAGAGTGTGGTAAAGACTGGTAAAGACTGGTAACGGTCGTGTTAGACAGTGTGACTGCAGTAAGAGTGTGGTAAAGACTGGTAACGGTCGTGTGAGACAGTGTGACTGCAGTAAGAGTGTGGTAAAGACTGGTAAAGACTGGTAACGGTCATGTTTGACAGTGTGACTGCAGTAAGAGTGTGGTAAAGACTGGTAACGGTCGTGTGAGACAGTGTGACTGCAGTAAGAGTGTGGTAAAGACTGGTAACGGTCGTGTTAGACAGTGTGACTGCAGTAAGAGTGTGGTAAAGACTGGTAAAGACTGGTAACGGTCGTGTTAGACAGTGTGACTGCAGTAAGAGTGTGGTAAAGACTGGTAACGGTCGTGTGAGACAGTGTGACTGCAGTAAGAGTGTGGTAAAGACTGGTAAAGACTGGTAACGGTCATGTTTGACAGTGTGACTGCAGTAAGAGTGTGGTAAAGACTGGTAAAGACTGGTAACGGTCGTGTTTGACAGTGTGACTGCAGTAAGAGTGTGGTAAAGACTGGTAAAGACTGGTAACGGTCGTGTTAGACAGTGTGACTGCAGTAAGAGTGTGGTAAAGACTGGTAAAGACTGGTAACGGTCGTGTGAGACAGTGTGACTGCAGTAAGAGTGTGGTAAAGACTGGTAAAGACTGGTAACGGTCGTGTTTGACAGTGTGACTGCAGTAAGAGTGTGGTAAAGACTGGTAAAGACTGGTAACGGTCATGTTTGACAGTGTGACTGCAGTAAGAGTGTGGTAAAGACTGGTAACGGTCGTGTTAGACAGTGTGACTGCAGTAAGAGTGTGGTAAAGACTGGTAAGTTAACGTTAACGGTCATGTTTGACAGTGTGACTGCAGTAAGAGTGTGGTAAAGACTGGTAAAGACTGGTAACGGTCGTGTTAGACAGTGTGACTGCAGTAAGAGTGTGGTAAAGACTGGTAACGGTCGTGTGAGACAGTGTGACTGCAGTAAGAGTGTGGTAAAGACTGGTAAAGACTGGTAACGGTCATGTTTGACAGTGTGACTGCAGTAAGAGTGTGGTAAAGACTGGTAAAGACTGGTAACGGTCGTGTGAGACAGTGTGACTGCAGTAAGAGTGTGGTAAAGACTGGTAAGTTAACGTTAACGGTCATGTTTGACAGTGTGACTGCAGTAAGAGTGTGGTAAAGACTGGTAAAGACTGGTAACGGTCGTGTTAGACAGTGTGACTGCAGTAAGAGTGTGGTAAAGACTGGTAACGGTCGTGTGAGACAGTGTGACTGCAGTAAGAGTGTGGTAAAGACTGGTAAAGACTGGTAACGGTCATGTTTGACAGTGTGACTGCAGTAAGAGTGTGGTAAAGACTGGTAAAGACTGGTAACGGTCGTGTAAAACAGTGTGACTGCAGTAAGAGTGTGGTAAAGACTGGTAACGGTCGTGTTAGACAGTGTGACTGCAGTAAGAGTGTGGTAAAGACTGGTAAGTTAACGTTAACGGTCGTGTGAGACAGTGTGACTGCAGTAAGAGTGTGGTAAAGACTGGTAAAGACTGGTAACGGTCGTGTGAGACAGTGTGACTGCAGTAAGAGTGTGGTAAAGACTGGTAAAGACTGGTAACGGTTGTGTAAAACAGTGTGACTGCAGTAAGAGTGTGGTAAAGACTGGTAACGGTCGTGTTAGACAGTGTGACTGCAGTAAGAGTGTGGTAAAGACTGGTAAGTTAACGTTAACGGTCATGTTTGACAGTGTGACTGCAGTAAGAGTGTGGTAAAGACTGGTAAAGACTGGTAACGGTCGTGTTAGACAGTGTGACTGCAGTAAGAGTGTGGTAAAGACTGCTAACGGTCGTGTTAGACAGTGTGACTGCAGTAAGAGTGTGGTAAAGACTGGTAAGTTAACGTTAACGGTCATGTTTGACAGTGTGACTGCAGTAAGAGTGTGGTAAATGTTGATTCAATAACTACAACAGTTATCAGACAATAGATTCTTTATTGCTCCATCACTTAACACAGCCGCTCTACCTCTCATAGAACGCCAGACCGAACAACAACTGAACAAACCGCGCTAACCCATAAAATGGTGCTCTTCACACATGCGCAGTAAAAGAAACATAACTTAACAATCTCCCTCTTTTTTTTTATAAAGAAAAAACTGTTCAAGATATAACATAAGCATTGGTTATTATTATAACAGGATAACAGGTTAACTTAAATACCTCAGTTTAAATGTCTACATTGACAAAACATAAGCAAATCCATTCAGTGCTTAAGATAGCAAACACCTGTGCTGAGGGCTTTCAGAAGGCCAAGTGCAGATGCACCCTTTTTGGTCAAGCAGTTAGCTAGCTGCTCTTTAGTGGCTGACCACAAGATCTGCTGAATAGTTCCAGAGTGTATAAGCTCCTTCATACTACTGATTTCTAGGCGCAGTCTCTTTTCGGTTACAGATTTTGTAGATTTGAGAGCATCAAGAAGAGAATGATTGTCTATTACACACACAATAGGCACGTTGATGCATGAGGAGCCACCAGTGGTAATCTCAGAGTATAATGTAGCGAGGAAAACGGCACTGTCAACTCCATCTGCAAGTGCCAAAGTCTCTCCCGCTAAGGTACTCCGTACAACTCTTCTGATCCGTTTTGACTGCCAAGATATAGGAGAAAATTTTCCATTTTCCCCCATAAGCATGATGAAATGACCACCCTGTGTACCACCATCCGGAAGATTTCCCATTGAGGAATCACTGTACACCACCAATTTAACTGAACTGTTTTCCCCTAAGTACTGAAACCTCAAGATGACCTCTTCTGATTTCAGTTTTCTGATAAGTTTATTTGCACAATGCAGGGTCTGAACGGTAGCATGCTTTGTGTTAGATGCCAACATGGATATGTCATATATAATGTCAGGACGACTTTGCCTGGCAACCCACAATATTTGTCCAATCTTTGATTTAAGCATGTCCATCTCAACATCTGTCAATGACGCCTCACGTTGTGTTGCTCTGGTGGAATCCACTGGGATGGGTTGCAGATTTTTTATGTACGTTCCTTGTTGTACTTGTATTTCATCGTCCTTAGAATGTACTTCTATTCCAATGTAGCTGAAACTGTCATGTTCTTCCCGTCCGACTTGAAAGGCAGCTTTCAACTGAGGAATGATATTTATGGAGAATGCATCTGTACCACCCCAAATAAAGTCATCCACATGTGACGCAAGAATCCCCATCACCTTGCAGGAATCATCCACCCAGTAGAATACTGCTGGATCTACCTTTGACACGGTAGCTCCCAATTGTTGCATGGTGTCTTTTACTCTATTATACCAGAATAAAGAAGCATCTGTTAGGCCATAAACACATTTTTTCAACTTCCATATGGTTCCTTTGTTCTGCACTTCTTGTGGTGGGCGAATGTAAATATCTCTGGTTAACTCTTTACCTTGTAGAAAGGCTGCTTTAATGTCCATGGAGTTTAGCTGCCA